GCATCAGGATACATTAAGGCAAATGTCGGTTTTGTGTGAAGCACAAGTTATATACGTGTTGTACAATCACGTAAGTTGTAATGCCGACTGGCAAATGCTAGTAATGACAGGAAAGTTAAACAGAATTTCAAGGAACGACCGGATGAGAACATAAATGAAACAAAGTTACAAGGTAACTTATGCAAATTAACGGAGTTCTTAGCTAGAAGACGAGGGATGGAGGGAAGCGACGGGATGGAAGAGGGGAAGAGAACAAGACAAAAGTGAGGAAATGGAACGTGCATTTTACAGTTATAGATAATGGTGGTAAATTTTGAAGTAGATCTCGTCCAGAAAATCAACAGAAACATCCGGAAACCTTCCTTATAGTCCTTTTGCATTGCAGCACAATTTCTACACACTTTTCAGGAAATATATCTAATTAGAAAGAGTGAAAAACAGTTGGAACCATTTAAAATGAATAAAAAGCATAAAGTATAACGGAGTTATCATTCGTCTCGTCTTGAGTATTCGTCCCACTTATTTCTCGACATGAGTATATACTCACACGCACAACAAACGTATACCCATGCACGCACACACATACATGCATGCACACGCGCACATGCACCCAAACAAAATCATAGTTATACAATTCCAGCTTTATGCTGTGCAAAGTTCTGAATAGTAGTTATCGGTAAAAATACGGTAATTATGACTTCGGTACGCATTTCTTCTCTCCTCACCTCGTCACGCCGCCCGAAAATAAATGACACGACCGCTCGCTCTCTACAACCACACTCCAATACAACCGAATAAGCCAATCCTAAAGTTTTACAGATTTCACGCAGACCGTTAAAACGTGCCGTAGTAGGATTAAGCCATTTCGTACCTAGGAACAGGTTAACCGCTTCAGGTATTTCATTTCCGATTTGTTTAAAACTACGGGGTTATATAACTGGTTATATAACAAGGGAAGGTGAAGTTGGCGCGGAGATTTGAAATTTCCTGGTCGATATTTTGTAAATTTTATGGTATACGTGTTAAAATGTTACATGACTTAGGCTTAAATGAAAGGCAGAAGGATGCGTTTGTATCGTAAAATTGTCATAAAGAAATAAAGGTGAAAAAAAGAAGCTTTCGCTTAATCTCATCATAAAAAAAAATATGTCTGAAAAGATATGCCATCGCATGAAATGGGATGCACGTTCCATTTCCTCATTTTTGTCTTAATCTTATCCTGCAAAACAGGCTCAAAATATTTGGCCACATTTTTCTGAGTATTTTTTGCTCACATCAATAATGGATCTGCCATGAAATTCACGAATTTTTAGATTTGGAAATATCAAATCTAAAAATTACATAACCCTGTAGTTTTAAACAAATCAGAAATGAAATACCTGAAGCGGTTAACCTGTTCCTAGGTACGAAATGATTTAATCCTACTACGGCACGTTTTAACGGTCTGCGTGAAATCTATAAAACTTTAGGATTGGCTTATTCGGTTGTATTGGAGTGTGGTTGTAGAGAGCGAGCGGTCGTGTCATTTATTTTCGGA